TTTTCAAAAAAAAAAAAAAAGAGTTATAAACTACCCCAGATAGATCCTCCAAGGAGTATGCAGTGATAATTGGTTCTTTGCAATAAAAAAATTTTAGTTACACAAGCCTTGGAAACTAGCCAGAGGCTAGTGAAAGGTATAAAATCATGATGAAAATTAAACCACATGTGTTCCAATCTGTGCTGGGGCAAATCATTTAATTTTGAGGGTCAGTTTCCTCATTTGGACAAGGAGGGAGTTGAATGGTCCATATTTAAGGTTTTTTTCCCTAGCTACAGCATTCTGTAATTCTAAATTCTAGTTAAGGCTGCAAAGAGAGAATCATTTATATGTGGCAAATGCCCCAGTAACCACTTCTTCATAATTGTAAAACAACATATATTGATTAAATATTTATCATCTAGTCAACTTTGTTAAGCCATTAGAAGTTTAAAGACATACTAATTAATAGCTTAAAAGTAAAAGTGTTTTGAACTTGAAAGGCAATTATGATTATGTTTATCCTTGCTATGAAATTCCAATTCTGTAGAATAGGTGTGGGGGGAAACAAGGAAGCATATTATCTAATTCCCTAAAATCTTGACAGTAACAAGATCAAAATCTAACTTTTCAGTTCTAATAGTCATCTTGTCCTTCTAAATTCTGCCATCTTATGAATGAAAGTATGTGGGCATGGTGGAGGTTAGGGTGGAAGAAGGCTCAGGTAAAATTTTAGGTAAATAGTTAAAGATCAAAGGTGTATACAATTAACTGCTAAATACAGACTCAAAGCAAAAAGCCAAAGTGAAACTGATGGAATGGCCTTGTGTGAAAAGGAGAACTGAACTTAATCTTGAATGCTTACAATTTGAATATATGGATAAGAACATGGAAGAGCATTTATGTGATACTTAACACAATGCTGTAGTGGGGGGGTAGACTGGATGGATATATTTTTTGACCGTAGAGGAACAATCCTGCTATCCTGCAGTGAACACAAGGTAGGGTGGGGTTAGATTACGTAGTGCTTTGAAAGTCACGTAAAAGTTTGTATTTAATTTCACAGGCAATAAGAATGCAGGTTACTGAGTTTGCAAGGGCATTATGGAAAAGATTAGAGACAGGCTCTGAAACTATAAGAATTCAGGTAGGAATTCATAATATTCATGTAAGGATGTAATATCCAGATTTTAAAGATATTTTGAAGGAAGATTTAATAGAACATATGATAGCTAGATATAGGTAAAAAGACGACTTTAAGAATGTCCTAATTTTTGTTATTTATACATCAAAACAGAGATATTCATTCAACCCTTTCCTTGTGAAATAAAATTCTCCTGGGAAATGCTATAATATTGTCCAATTTAGCTCAGCCTAAGGATGCTGAGGCAGATTCTATAAAGATTCTCAACCTCTGGCAATTTTTTTGTTTGCTTTTAAAAACAGTTGATTCAGAATTGAGAAGCTCTTTAAAGAGAAACATTTATCTTATCATTCTAAAGCAGCAATTCTTGGGGGTTCATGAGGTCAAAGCTATTTTCATAATACCTCTAAGATGTAATTCATCTTTCACTCATTTTCTCACGAGTGTACAATAGAGCTTACAAGGGGTTATATTCTGTGCTTGATATTGCATAGACTGAATGCAGAAGCAGATGAGAATGCAGCTCTGTTCTATTACGCCAGACATTAAAGAGATTTGAAAAATGAAAACCACCACCACTTTTCTAAGTAGAGTTTTTGGGAAAAAATATATAGTTACCCATAATTTAAAATGCTATTTATACTGACATGTTATGTGCTTTTTATTATTTTAAAATCAATTAATAAGTCAGTTTTTTATGTTTCTCGGTTTTAATTTTTAACACAGTAAATGACAGAATACAGTAAATAATCTAGAGAAACAAAAATTCTTCAGGACACTCTATAATTTTTAAGAGTAGAAAGAGGTCACAAGACTAAAAAGCTTGAGAATATTTGCCCTGAACTGATGTTCTCCAAGGTTGGGTAAAAGAAAGAAAAAGATTTTACTCTGACTTTGCTGTGTTCCTTATGTTGTAACTGACTAGTCGCCCATCATAGTGATGTCAGAAGACTTAAATTCCTCTCAGTCGCTTTTTTAGATTATTTACTTGTAATCGCCGTATCTAGGTTTCCAAATAAAGAGGAATCATATTTCTTACCTGTGCTCAACAGTTTCCTGGGAGAGGAAGTGGTCTGGAAGGTTTGACGTCCCTTTCTTGTCCTGGTAAAAGGAGGCAGCCCCTTCCCCCTTCAGCAGCAGAAGCAAGCAGCCAGGAATGCAGAAAGAATTGGAAAACACAACTTCTCGCTGCTTGAATCCAACAGCCGTCTGGGGAGGGGTGTGTGTGCCAAGCACTTGGGAGAAAGGAGGAAGAGGGTGGAGGGAGGAGACTGTTCTGGCACGCCTTGGACCCGCCTTCAAATGTGGGCTCTTTCTTAGGGCAGTGAAACTTGAAATAAAGTGACAGAGAATACGGGCATTTCTTTTCATGTAAAAATCATATATAACTTTAATGAAATCATTTCATTTGTTGCAGTTCTGGCTTTTCCAAAGCCTGTACCTCTTTCAGAAGGACATCCAAGCACTTTAAAGAAAAGCACCTTCTTTGTCAATTAGAAGCATCTTTTCTCACATTAATCTCTCTTTTTAGAATTTCTACTTACACTTTAATATGAAAAAATTTTTTTTATCTAACAGTGCTGAATAATCCTACAAGAATAATTCCTATAATGTAATCATAGCACCCAAAATGGAACTTTAAAGAGCAGAGTGTGACTATCACAGCCTTGAAAATGATTAGCAGAAACAAAGTTTCTCAATTTTCTCTTGAACATGTGCTAAATTGTATTACCTTCTTAGAAAGGGAATTAGTACGGTGACTTTTTGTTTTGGTTTTTTTGCCATTACAGCGAGAGACTGAACAGAGGGGTTCTAGACTTAGAAATAAACTGTTTACATCAGCAGCTAGTTCAGGTGTTTTTCTGTTGTTGTTTTAACAATATAGAGTTTTCATTTCATAAGGTCATAAAAACATGTTCACAGCAGTGATTACAAAGGAAGTCTAAGTAAGGTAGGATGGTTGAAGGTACCTGATGCAGTGACAATCAGAAGAAAAAGAAATAGCACATTTAAGACGTGTTTGATAATACACACACGACTGAAACTGAAATAACAAGTTTTTATCCTATGTGTTGTCCAGTCAGGCCAATTACCGTGAAAGCATGAAGTAGAGTCAAACAGTGATTTCAACAAGCAAAGCACCAAGCAAGTTAATTTTAAGTGGCCCATCGTCAATTTTTTTTCTCCAGCTGCAAAGATACAAAATGAATAATTTGTCCATTTCTTACTTTGGAGACATTTTTTCCTTTGTCATAGAGCAACCCAAATGTCTCTATGTCCCATTTCATAGGATTGTTTGTGAAGATTAAATGAGATGATGATATTGAGTATTTGAATATTTTAAAGCACCAGACAATACCTCTCCTCCCATACTCTCACTTATTCTTACTCATATAGCTTACACAATGGAGATAAGATTTAAAAAAACAAAAACAAAATGTCCATGGTGTTCTCTTAATCTGATGCAAATATTTATGTATTAGGTGGAGTCATTTTTCCTGAAACTATTTTAACAACTAGGTAACTACCTGTTTAGATATCATACCATATGAAGGCTGGGAGAGGAATTAGATCAGTACTTCCCAGACTTTGGGGTTTAATGGACCATTAAGAAGAATAACAACAATAATGATAATAATGAAGAAGAGATAAACACTGAGTAGATAGCTTTACATTTTACCAAGTAAGGACTTTTTAAAAAATCTAAAAAAATTTTTATATTTTTATTTAAAAAAATTTTAAATTTTTTGTTTTCTTTTTTGGGGGGAAGAGAGTAATTAGGATTATTTATATTTATTTAATGGAGGTACTGGGGATTGAACCCAGGGCCTTGGGCATGCTAAGCATGCACTCTACCACTGAGCTATACCCTCCCCAGTATTTTCATTTCTTGTGAAGACACTTTAACACCACAACCTATAGGAAGGACACAGCATCAGATTAAGACAATCCTTTAAAGCGAATGCATTAGCTTTAGGAAAAACTCATTATTGTTTTCCTCATTTTATCACAAATAGGGAAAATTTCAATACAGATTTCTATCAGTCATCAGAAAGTGACTGGGATCCTTTAAAGACTACCAATAACCGCACCATAATGTAGTCTACTTTTACTGGATGACTTACATTTCACAATAATAGCAACTCAAGTTAAAATGAGCACCTTTTTCACAAACAGACAATAAATAAACATATACACACAATACTTACAAGTCTTTATGACAGCTAACATCTAAATAAGCCAAAGGGAAAAAGACATTAATAACATGTGTTAAATATAATTTGCTAAGTTGTAAGATTGTGAATCTGGAATTTATGGGAAATGTTACTGACCTTTGTTTTATGAGGTGATGGGCTTTCAATTTTCTACCACAACTAACTGGGCATGAGTGTACAATATCTGTCTTTGAAACTGCAGGTCAAAATTGCCATGTGAAAGCATCCAGTGAGGCTAAACTTCAAGTATGTGAGCCTCGCATGTTACGAAGTATTTTTTGAAAGCAGTCAATGAAGTCGACTACTGAATGAAGTTACTGACACATTAAAGAAGAAATTTTCTAAAACGGTGTGATTCCAAAAGCTAATCTGGATCAAAAAAAAAAAAAAAAAGGTGAAGGAACGGAGGCTCTGGATCTCGAAGCCTCGGCAAGCCGGCCAGGAGAACTCAGGTTTAAACCCTTCCTGCAAACAAACCATCTGGGACATGATGTAACTTTCACTTGGCAAGTGGTGGTGGTGTGCTGCTATTCTGTTTTCTGAGGTTCCAAGGGGCTGGGGCACACCCCGGCCTTCCGCAGGCAGTTCTTGCTTGGTTTTTCTTGAGGAACGGGTCTCAGGTTCCCGCTTCTTGCAGAAGCGCACTGGAAGGCAGGGAAACGCCTTGACTCACAAGGACTCCAACCGGAGAAGATGAACAGGAGACGCCTCTCAGGGGTGGCGAGACAGGCGGCGCAGGCGCGGCTCGGGGGGCGGGGCGGGCACGTCACGTGACATGCGCATTGCCTGCCGGGAAGGCCGCCACCGCCCCTGCGCCTGCGCACTGGAGTGCATCCGGCCTCTTCATTCCTGCGCGTTCGCTGACGAGGTCCCGAGGCCTAGCAGTCGAGCGGGCTTGGGGTGGGGATGCTGGGATGAGCGCCCGGGAGAGCGTGACTGGGTGTGAAGCAAGGCAATGAGAAAGGGTGGACGCTTCCTTGTAGGGTCTCTAGTGAGGCTGAAACCCTCGTGGGGAGAAAGGCGGGGAGCGGGGCGGAAAGTGAGGACCAAGGTGGGTGGGGCGGCCTGAGGGGCGGAGGTGACGGTGAGAAGAAAGAAGGCGAGTAGCAAACAGTTGCACGAGGTCCAGGGGTAGTGCTTGGTGATGACTGTGCACCAGCGCCTCAGATTGCACAGCCGGCGTCAGTGGCTGTGACGGGTCTGTCGCAGGCAGGGGCCTGGTGTCTTGATGAGGCCTGGATTTGGCTGAGGCCCTAAGTCATGACAGAGAAATTAATCTTTTTACAGAGGCAGAGTTACCTAGTTAGAAAAGTTTTGGTTTGACTTAAACGCACGTTCTATTGCTTTGAGAGAGGCAAGAAGAGGTGTTAAAGGAAAAGGGAAGAGAAAAAGGGGAAGGGAGACGAGAACAGTTCTCATGTTGGCTTCTCTGAAACATTCTCGAACTTCCCAAGGCAAAGTGAGCGCCCCCGTGCGCATGTAGTAGTTTTCTACATGTTGATATTATAGTGCTTACACTTAATGTACTAGAAAGGTACTGACATGATAGTAGGAGCCTTATAAGGAATTTACTAAACAGACATCTCTGTTACTTGTTGTTGCAGTCTTTCTGTCATACATATGAATATTACATGTGGCTAATCAAACAGATTTGTTACAGTTGTCCAGGTCAGCAGAGTTTCTCAAAAAGCAAGCAGAGTCAATGGAAAACTTGAGTGTACCGAGCGATCTTCATCTACTAAGATGTAGAGACCATACCATTCTATGTTTTAACAGTTTTTCTTTAAGTTTAAACTTAGTTTTCCAGACTCCCTGGGAAATTATCTTCACAGTTTAGGGGAAAGTAATTTAAAAGTGAAAGTAAAAATTGATGCTATATGAAAAAAGTAAGATAGGACAGTGGGGAAAAAAATCTCAGAAGCAGTCTTGTTCTAGTCTGGCCCAGCTTTTTATGTTTGAATTTGGTCAGCTACCTCTATTTGTTTTCACATCTGTGAAAAATGAGATTGAATTAGATGACTATAAGATTTATTTTAATACTAAGATATTGTGATGGCAGAAAAATCTTAAATGAATCCTGAAACAAGGAAGAAGTTCAAAAGAGACTACTTTGGCTGATGGAATATAACAGAGAGCAGAAGAAAATCATGGGAATGATAGGTTGGCGCCAGGTGATGTAGGACTTTGGATTCCACACCGAAGAATTTGAACTTATCCTGAAGCAATGAATTATCAAGGGAGGGTTTTTTGACTTAAGGGGATGCAGTAATCAGAGTTTTGAGAGATTACCCAACCAGCAGTTGGTAGGATGAAACATAGAAGGGAGAATTTGAGTGGGTTAGGTAAATGACAAATAATGAAAGCCTAAACTAACAGTGGTAGTAGGAATGGAAAGAAAGGGAAGGATTCAGGGGAGCTGCAGCATGAAGTTTGTACCTAAATTTGGCATTGCTCTAAACGTTCCAGCTCTTGCCTCCAGAATATGGCAAGTCATCTTGTAAAACCTGATAATAGAAATTGCAAAAGACCAAGAGAGTTGGAGGTAATCTATATGCTTGTGGAGCCTTAATCTTTTATTTTATATACAGCTAAAGTTTGTTCCATCTAAGATAATTCTGTTGATAAGTGGAATTTAATGTCTTCATATTTCCAGAGCTGGGATTGACCCAGCAGGACCTATGTTGATTTCAGCTTCTTTTTCACTAAGTACAGGCCTCCATGAAACTATTGGGAGATTTCTTTGTGATAAATTTGTGATCTAGAGACAGAAGTGGGTTCATGCCTTTATGATACATTGGACTTTAAATAATTATTCTGATAGATAAGTAAGATACCTAGCTATTGTACTTGCAGATATTTTTAAAGAAGAGCACTATATCCTACTCTTCTTTACTACTACCCCACCAATTGATTTGATTACATTTGGGACATTAGTTGTTCCCTTAAAGATTATGTTATCTTGGAAAAATTTGCAAGCATCTGGCTGTTACCCAAATTAAAGTTTTGTTGTTTTACTATGGAAACATCTGCTGGTTCAAGATACAGGAAATGTTTCATCAGGGGATTAATACCATTTTTAAAGTCTAGTGTAAACCCACAATAAAATTATTATGTTGAACAGTGCTTGTTGGGTATAAAAGTTTCCTTGATAGTAAAATTACAAATGACTGGTTAGGACAATAGAGCATATAATTTCTAGCATGTTTACTTTTTTTGAAAGGTATTTTATTTGCTTTTTTTTGATGGAATGATATACCTTAAGGATCTTATTAACTGTTTACTTATTTTCTTTGCTTTCTCCTATTAGCCTCAAATGCCAGATAGTCCACAACTGTCCTCTCTTGGAAAATCAGATTCCTCTTCCTCTGAAAGCTCTGGACTGTTTTATAAAGATGAAGCCCTGGAGAAAGATTTAAATGGTGGTGTATAAAGTGCTTATATTTATATACATTGATTTTATAATATGGAAGATATATTGTAGTTCATAACTTAGTGATTTTTTTTGAACAGATATGGGCAAAGAAATTAATCTCATGTTGTCTGCATATGCAAAGATCTTAAGGCAAGTACTTATAGTATATTCTCTTGAGTCTTTAACTTAGACATAGAAGTTTTCTTTTGGAAACGCCATAATGGGAATTTTAGTTCAGTGGCTGCAAAACCTGTCCAGTAATTTTGGAAATTTTTTATTCTACCTCAGTTTCTTATAATAGATTAGTTGGTTATTTTCAAAGACTAACTTTTCTACTAAATATCCTTTGGTTTGATTCTCCCAGAGCTGATATCAGGCTAGATATATTTTGGTCTCTAATTAGATGATATAACACTTAAAATTTTATGAAAAAACTTATTTCAGAAAAATATCATTGAGGGGAGGGTATAAAAATATCATTTGGTGAAGGTTATGATAATAGAGGGATATTAAAGATAAAATAGGTATTTATGCTTATGAAATGTTTTAAGTATTTTCAATATATATTTGAAGGCTGAATTTAAATATTCTATTGGCCTGAGATGATTTGTAAGATTATTTTTTAAACTACTGGACAGTCACTATAGTTGAATAATGGTTTCTGTGGCAATTAAAATAATGTACATAGTTTAAATTAGAATTATTATATATAAGATATGTATTCTGCTGTATCAAGAGCAGTAGTCAAAAATATTTGTGGGACTGACTGAATTTTTACTGATGTGTGTAAATTAATGGAGCTTTCTGATATACAAAGCCATTTAAAATGAAATAGCTGACAAATATAGCATAATAAAGAACATCACTATGATAGTGGGTTTAGATGTTATAACTAGTTTATTGTAAAACTTTCTTCCCCACTAGTGAGAGAGCAGCGGTAGATGCATCTTACATTGATGAGATAGATGGACTCTTCAAAGAAGCCAATACCATTGAAAACTTCCTAATACAGAAGAGAGAGCTCCTGAGACAGAGGCTTACAGTAATTGCAAACACACTACACAGATAAAATTGTGTACTTAAAATTAGCTGAGAATTTAAACCCATTGTTGTAATGAAAGAATGACATCTGTGCTCTGAATGCTTCCTAGTTGTTAAGAAAAATGTGTATCTTAAATAAATTTCTTCTCTAGAATTAAAAGAGGCTTTAAGCTGGACATAAATATGAAATATGTAGTTTTTCTTTTGAGGGTCAACTATTTGGCATATTTTATAAACGTCTATATTATTTAAATTATGTATGAATTCAATTTTTTCAATCCTCCCAACCTTTCTTAACTTTCTAGAAGACTCACTGAGTTAATTCGATAATATTTAATAATATTGTACTTTTTATTTTAGAATATTTAGAAAGCAGATGGATAGCTTTCAAGATAGTTTTAAGATGTTTTTCATGGTTGGTATTGAAAAAAAATTAAAGCCCAAAAGTAATTTTTCCAGCGTCTCAATATGTAATTAAACTGTGCCATTGCTATTCAATATTACCATTTGATTATTTTCACTATTATTATTATACATCGCTAATAAAAATTTGGTTTAAAATTAATTGTCTTGTGATAAAAGTGGTAAAGTTAAAACCAGAAATTACTAACCAGAACTTTATGAGTTGATTTTTTTACACATCAACCATATCAACGGTGCAGTTAATGAAGTTTACTTTGAAGCCTTAGCAGCTGTGCAGGGTCGGGTAAAGGTTAGTGATGCAAAAGTAGAGACTGGCTAAACAACAAGGCAATCTTGGTGAGTCATTTCAATCTTGTTATAATTCAGAAGTTGAATTTGGACTAGAAGATCTAATGCTTATCCAGAAAAAAGTCCTCCCTTTGACAGAAGCTACTGCTGTGATTTTACTGAAAACCTTCAATATGATTTATAGTTATATGTGATAACTATTCATCAGATTTTTAAAAAAAATCACAGCACTCATTGTTCAGTCATGTAGATAATTTAATCTGTTATATGTATATTTTGCTGATACAAGCAGTCACAAACTTGGACATATTTATAGACAATACCATAGGGAATTTGGTATTCTTCAGGTGGACCGTATGTTTGTCATGCTGCCTTCCTAATGTTAAAATCTC